AAGGCAAATAAGCAGTCGTTGATTTTGCTTCTTCAGGAGTATAAGTAACAGGTTGAATTTCACGATCACCCATTAAAACAGAGCGATAAGGTTTATAACCCCTTATTTCTTCATCACCGAATAACAATACATTGGTGGGGGAATTCCTGCATTGATTGAAGCTTCAATTGCAGCATCAAGAAATCCAGGATGAGCGGTCAGAACCGAAGCTCCTGAATCGCTTAATTGATGCAAAAATTCAGCTGCTTTATATTTTGGGTTAGCAGTTGTTACTTTGCCACCTGTAAAAGCGTAAATATAATTTAAAATTTAAATAATTGAAATGATTAAGTTTTTTAATTATTTGAAACTTTTAATACCGGCAGCGATTGTTCCAAAGAGCACAATAGGATAATCATACTTAACAATATATATATATATATATATATATGCTATTAGATGAATGAATTAATTACTGAAAGCTAATTAAGTACTCAAGTACCTGATTAGGCGAAAATATTGCTAAAACATCTCCATGTTGAAATCCCAACTTACGTATCTTGTAATCCAGCAGCAAACTTTTTCGAGTCATGTTTAAATTCGCCATAAGTGCAACTCTTCCCAGTAATTCCATCCACGAAAATGACCTTGTCATCTGGAATTTGTTGTGGATTACTAGTCATATATTGATAGATTCCAGTTTGAGGAATTTTTATCTCAGGATGCTTAGATTCAAAAATCATTTTATATTTAATGTTAATGAAATCAAGATAAGTTGTATGTTTAGCGTTAGCGAAGTCAAATTGATGCAATATTTCAAGTAATAACATGTAAGCTAATATATATACATAATTCTAACTAAATATAGTATAACAATTATAACAGTAATACGATTTCATTTATTTTGAAAAAATTTTTCAAAATCTGTGCAAAACAAAGATTTCGTTAAACAATTTAACTATATTGTATGCCCTGCTAGCCCTACTCCAAAATGCTAACTTTAACATTACCGAACTTTAAGAATTTTGTAATTATATATGATTGAATTTTTTGTTGGTGAATACTGAGACTGTAATCGTTCAACAATTCAATGATTAATCGATTGTTATCAATCATAAAAGCTATGAAGCTAGTTAATAGAATACATGAACTTTTCTGTTTATTAATAGAAAAATCATTTATGTTTATAATAGAAAACCATTTATTTTAGTGGATAATTATTGTGTGATTTTAATAACCTTGTACTAGTCAAAATATTTTTTTGACCAATTCTGACTTCTAATGACCACTGAGAAAAATGTTAATACCTGAATTGGAACTCAAAACCAAATAAAATTCGAAGCACAAATTAATCAAGTTGCATATATGTACGTGCATATGTATATCAGTTAAAATTAAATATAGATACTTATCTTTTCAACTCATGTTAATAAATAGGTGTGTTATCTAATCTCGAGCATTAATAATGTCTGAATAGATTTGTGCAGTATAGTGTGCTATAAAAGCAAATAGCTAATAAAAAGGTACTGAAAGCACTCTATTTCCATCTAGTATTCTCTAGAATCACTAAAAAAATAGAAAAAAGAAGACAAAAACAAAATTACCTAACAACATATGACTTTAAGATCTTTGCTTTTGTATTATATCTATAATTTGGACTAAATTATAATAATATTGTTTTTTTTAACTCATTAATACTGAGCAAACACTTTATAATTATCAATTAACATTCATTTTACGCTTATCTTAATGAATTATGCAAAAAGCAAAAAAAAAATACAGTGAATTATTGAAACAAATTCAATGCTAACTTGTCTACACTATTCTTATACTTTGTATGATTTTTTATAGTTCATAGGCTAATCTATCTATAAATAATTCCCACTTTGTACAGTACAGGCTATTCTTTATATAACTACCCATATACATTAAATTACTGCTGCATTGCAGAACATGTATTTCAGTAATGTCTATTTTTTCCACATAATCCACATTTACGACCCTTATCATTATTTAAAGTATTTGACACTTTTGATTTTGATTTATTTTTAAATTGTTCAATAGATGATTTTAGTTGTTTCAATAATGGTCTTCCTTTTGATTGATGTTTTAGCGGGTCTAAAACCTGTTCAGGATCAATTAAATCCCCATTTGTATTGCAAATACTGGTAATGGGATTGTTGTGTATACAAGCTTGAATATGTTGATTTTCTTTTCGTTTATTGAATTCTTTTATAAATTGTATTAATTTATTATCTTCATCCTGTAATGCATAATGAATTGCCTTTTTTGCTTCACCCATTAAAGCACCATATTTTAATTGATTTTTTGATATTTTTTTATAACATTTTTCTGAAAGATCAGTTATAGTATATTTTTGGGTGAATTCTGGAATGATTTGTATATCATTATTATTAGAACTATTTACTACCATTTCATGAGAATAGTCTTTATCCGAATCAAGATATTCATCCTTGTACTAGCATTTAGGAATCAACATTAAATGAAAATGTACCTTGGATGATAGTGTAAAGATTTTAAAAAAATACCTACATATAATCCCATGAGTAACAAACATAAAGCATGTACATAAATGTTCCCCATTATTAAGTAAAATTATATGTTGATAGCACTTTTGGTAATTATATCGAGAAACTTTCTAAATTTCTAAAATCTCGTCATGATTAATCATTGAAATTAAAGATTGCAGGTTAAGTTTCCGATCCTCATCTGCTTCAGAAAGAATTTCAAAATTATTA